GACATTAGAGGCATAATAAGAATTGAGCAGTTTTGTCTTTTTGCCATCAGTTACCATAACCCCATGTACCCTCAAGTACTGGTGGTCCTATTCCTTTTCTGGTCACCTTCTCCCCCCCCCCCATTTAGTTTAAAACAAAGACAGCCCTCCCCTAACCCTTTTTGGCTTTTCTTGCCAGCTTGAATTCATTTGAGTCCTAGCACTCCTTGATACTATCCTTATCAAAGTGTACCTTCCTGGTAGAGTTGTCTAAAGAGACTCATATTTTCCATCTCTCAGCTCACCAATCAACCTGGATTTTTAACATCCAAGTTTACGACCCTCTCTTCAGCCTGGGCATGCTGACCTGGCTGCTTATCAGCCACAATGAGACACTGTCTCCCATCTCTTCACCTTTACAGTAAGAAGAGAATGTAGAAACTAACTTGATGACTGGATAGGAAATAGAGTAGTTTAGGAAATGACAGAATAAGACAGGATGCAGGAATCATAGAATTTTAGAAATGGAGGTGATGCTTAGAATTCAGTCAAATGAGATATTAAAGAACAGGGACAATAAGAGAAAATCCAGAGATGCTATTTAGCTAACATCCTCAATTTCTCATAGTGCCTACATACTACATTAATCACCCTATATGTGGACTATCAATATATCATATTTTACCTTCTCAGTGCTATAAAGTATTTCTCTTAGTGTTGAGGGCCAGCACTGACAAGTCAGAGGATTCAGGCCAGTCAGGTTTTACTTGTTGATTTCCTTTGTCCAATGGCTACTTAAGTCAGGAACGTGGGCTCTCCAAACCCCCCCCCCCCTTTGCTCTGTCTCTCTTGAGAACAGAAGGACCCTGAAGATCACAGGAGGCAAGGAAACGGTTCAAGGGAGGACTCCCCTGGTTACTGTTCCTATGAGAAAAATAATTGTTGATACTTTGCCTTTGCTACTCTGGGTGCTGTTCCCACGAGTGAGGTATAAAAACCCTAGCCCTCAGACTAATAAATGGAGCTTGTTCTTTACTTGCTACCCACCTGGCCCGCTTGCCTTTCTTTTCACACTTGACCGCATTTAAACACAGCTGTGGACACGGGCGCTCGAGGCATCTTAGGTATAAAATAACACTTGCAAGTGTAAGATAATGATACATATTGCCAAAAGTTAGGAGAGTTAAAAGATTGTACTTTAATATTTCATGTTGTGAAGAAGTATGAAGAAATATAATAATTTAGCACATACACTTCAAGAACCTCAAATGTTATTAGTATGTGGACTTGTTACATTGATTTACTCTTTAGTTCATAAGATTATAGCCAATTTGTATGTAGCTCAATACTGTTTCTTTTTGTGTAAATGAGAAAATGTCAGGGTTCTAATGGTCAGGATTCTTGTATTATAGTTTTGTCTGTTAGTATTTTATGCTAAGTGAAAGAAAGGATTCTAGCCTAATGGATAATTAAAAACGTTTCCTGAAAATAATAAAAACTATTACTGAATAGTTTTTGGAGTAACTGTGTCTGAATCAAAAGGCTACTTTGAAAGGGGATCTCATCACTAAATACTCACACCCCTGTAGGTGTAAGCTGGTTATAGGATATGTCAAGAAGAAAGGGAGGCAGTGTCCTCCATCATTTTTTTTTTAATTGGATCAAAATTTAGAAAAATTACACCTTAATTTAGATCAGGGGGGAGAGAGAGAAGACACAGAAAGAGTATAGGATATGGGGGTTAATAGAACCTGGTTCACAACCCTGCTCTGCCCCTTGCTATTTGATATTAGGTAAGACACTTAACCTTTCTGTGGTTTAGTTTCCTCACGTGTAAAATGAAGATTGTACTACCTTATATGACAAGGTTATTGTGAGGTAATGATGATTATAATTAGCATTACAGTAATATAATACATTACACAGAAGACAAGTCATTACAGAAATGTGTGAAATTATTTCTTAGGATCTTTCTGAAACTAGAATTATACATGGCCTTGTTCCCATGTTGCACAGGGCTAGGGTGGGGACCCCTTTATCATTTACCCCCATCATCCTATGCCATACCATTGGAGGTTGTTGTTTGTCCTTTGTGCTTGAAGAGGACCATGACATCAGGAAGATGATGCCATGACTTGCAAGTGAATTGGATTTATGTGAGGGAGGGCTGGGCAAGGTTACCAGCTTTACTTTCTCCTCCAGAGCTATTTGGGTCCAGTGGCAAGATATAGATCAGGACAAGTGGAGATGGCCCCCCCTTGGAGGCTACCACCTGAAAGGAATAGTGGCTGTTTGAGTTCAAGATTGCCTCTTCTGGAATGACACTTAAATAGAGAGAAGATTAGCATAGAGCAAGGAGTCCAAGGGATTAATTTTTCAGCCATAGGAACTTTCTAAGACCATCTACTGAGATGAAAAGGGGATGTAATCTGCAGAAGCCGTGAAGAGCTAGAAAGAACAACCCATGCTCAGGAAATCACAGATCACTGAGAACTGAAGTACAAAATGCCTATCTTATAGTAGACATGTTGCAAACATCACAGTGCTGCATAAATATATAAATATCAATCCAACAATTCAGTTTTAGAAGAACCCTCAGGAGCCACAGAGTTCACACCTGAATAAGAATCCCTTCTTCAACCTGTTAGGACGAGAGCTCCTCTGGCCTCTGCTTAAAGGCCTCCCCTGAAAGGGAATCCACTACCTCCTGAGTCAGTTCACCCCATCTAAGGACAACTCTCCCTTTTAAGTTCTCCTTACAATAAGGCCAAATCTGTCTCTTTGTAGTTTCCATTCAGTGCTCCTAGTTCTGTCCTCTAGGGCTAATTAAACAAGCATAATGACTCTGCCCAGCAACAGTCCTTCAAAGCTAAACACAGCTATCCCGTCAGCCTTAGATCCTCTTCTCCAGGTTAAACACTTCCTTCAGTGGATACCGATATAGCATAAGACTGAGACTCTATAATGTAACAAATCATGTGTCCTAGCCAGTGTGTTAGGTGTTAGGGATGCAAAGACATTTAGCAGGTCCTAGAGATTTTCATTCTTTTCTTTGTTATTTGAATGACTGGGGAGAATAATGGTCTTCTTGCTCAGGGACATGCATGGTTTGGGTTGAGTGGGTAACTGCTGGAAGTGAAAGGGAAGAATCTACATGGAAGTACGCACCTGTAGAGGAAAAGAGGATTCTTAAAACTTTTGTCCCTTATGTTGTAAGAGAGGCAACAGAAAGATTTCCTTCTCCAGCTCATTTTACTGATGAGGAAACTGAGGCAACCGGGGTTAAGTGAGTTGACCAGTGTTACAGAGCCAGTAAGTGTCTGAGGCCAGATTTGAACCCAGGAAGATGAGTCTTCCTGTCTCCAGGCCTGTCACTCTACACTAGCTGCCCATAGAAAGGTTAGGAAAGCCTGAAGAACTGCTTTTACTTTTTGGAGAAATTGTGTGGACACCAGAGCAGAAGCCACTTAAGATGGAGGAGAGATGGAATAGCAAGTTGTACATAATGAATTTGCAGTTTCATGTACAATCATTTCTTTTTCTACTTTACTATGTTATGGAAATGCTTGTTTTATTTCTTAAGTTCAGAATAAACTAAAAAAAGATGGAGGCTAGAGAAACAAAATATCCTTCCACCTCCGCTGTCTACTGCCTACCTGCTCCCCCTAATTATTCTCAGATATGACTTGTTTCGGGAGGCACCTTCACCAAAAGGTGACATCCTATTTGGACAGTGACCCTGGGGACTTACATTTTGGAGACTAATTTTTGTTCATTCACGGCTCTCTTTTCTTCAAAAAACTTTCTTTTATAATTTTGTGACTGTGTGTTTGCAGTGGAAAGTTGGTCTTACTGTATAGTTGGTGCCTGCATATGAGGTGTGCATTTTTCTAAGGCTGTCAGCCAAAAGAAGTGACAAAAGCTCCTCCTCTTCTACTCCCAAGAGTACCAGAGCTCTTCTTGTTACGAGATGCCGAAGAAGCCATCACGTAACTACCAGCTCCTCCGGCTGGGTATCTTATTCTGTATATATCTTGTTGGTACATAGTTGTTCTCATGTTGTCTTCCTGTTGGATGCTGTTTGTTCACCCTTCATTCTTGAGAAGGACCAGTGACATCACCAGTCTTGACTTGTGGTGAACTGGATACAAGTGAGGCCGAGCTGAGGTGAAGTTTTCACCTCATTCTCTCTTCCACTGTCATGAAAGTCCAGTGGCAAGACAAAGGTCAAGAAGACTGGAGATGGCTCAGGATGCTGCTTAGCATAGTGCCTGGCACATAGTAGGCATTTAATAACTACTTGACTGCCTCCTTATGGACTACAACTTCCCAGATAACTTTTAAGTGTCTTCTGACTTCTGAATCTTAGAGAAATTAAATAACTTGGGCTTGCTCATAAAGATACCAAAGGGAGAGGTTAGATTTGGACTTAGGTCTTCCTGACCTTCAGGTTCAGCACTCTATATGCTCTCTACCTTCTAAGGCCAGCATGGCAGGGTTCAGCTGGAGATCTAGGTTCTTTTTTTTTTTTTTAGGCAATTGGGGTTAAGTGACTTGCCCAGGGTCACACAGCTATTAAGTGTCAAATGTTTGGTCTGAGGCTGGATTTGAACTCAGGTCCTGCTGACTTCAGGGCCTGTGATCTATCCACTGCACCATCTAGCTGACCCTGGAGATCTAGGTTCTAATTCTGCCTTTCACAATTAATACCTGAGTAATCCTAGGCAGATCTCACTCTCTTACTCTGTAAAAACGGCATAATAATATCACCTGTTTTAGAGGGCTGTTGTGAGGTTCAACTGGAATAATATGTGCAAAATGTTTTGTAAATCTTAAAATGTTTTATCACTCTAAGCTATTACTACCACCCCATTCTACCTTTTATAACTCATAGGTTCATAGAGTTTGAAGTGACCTTAGAGGTCTAGTCCAATCCCTCAATTTCAGAAAAGGAAACTGAGGCACAAAGTGATTTACCCAAGGTCATGGGATTCAAACCTAGCTCATCTGACTCCAAAACCTGCACCCTGTCCATTACACATACAAGGACCAAAAGGCTATCTCCTCCAACCTCCTTATTTTACACAGAGGGAAATCGAGGCCTAGGGAAGGTTCTGACTCTTCGAAGGTCCCAAAGGCAGTCGTTTTCAGATTTAAACACAAATCCTCTGAGTCCAGAGACAAGTGTGCTCTTTCCATTGCACTGCTTCCTCCCTAATACTTTTTATTATTCTGAAACAAGAAAGCATTTATTTCTCTCCTACTATAAGGTGCCAGGCACGGTGGGACCCAAAGAGAGAAACGCAACAGTGCTTGCCCTCAAAGAGCTTTTAGTCTCTGCCAGGCACATCCGTGTGGGTGGTGGATGGCGTGCTGGACCTAGGGTTCCGGATACCTCAGTCTGAATCCTAAGTATGTAATTCTCGGTAAGTCAAGCTTCAGTTGCCTTATCTGTAAAATGGGGATAACAGCGGCACCTCCCTCCCAGGTTGCTGAAGGGCTCAACTGAGTTAAAAGCGGAAAGCGCTTTGCAAACCTTGGGTGCTGCAGGATGGGGAATACCAGCTCTTGTTACAAATTATATGCAAAGTAACTTTGCTGGGGATCCGGCGGGTCGAGAAAGCCCCGTGGGTGGACCCTGGGAGGGAGATCTGCCGGGAAGGGGGGACGGCCAGGGCAAAGGCACGGGGACAGGAGATAAGGGGGCGTCGCGGGTGTCCAGCGGCCCGGTCAGTGCGGCCGGACTGAAGGGAGGATCAGAAGCTTGGTCAGATGCTGAAATAACCGATACGAACGTCGGGGGCCGGGCCCGGGGCTCCTACTAGAGCAGGAACCGAAATCCTCCCCCGCCCCTCTTTACCGTCAGCTTCTCTGCCCGTCCCCTGAGCGCCGGGCCTTGTCCTCGGTCCCCAGGGCAGCCTAACCGCTCTCGCCCCCAGCGGCGGCCGCGCGCCAAAGGAAGTCCCGCCTCCCGCCCTGGAGCCAAGGGCTTGGCGCGCGCGGGCGGGGGCGCGGTGTGTAAGGACGCTGCCACCGCCTCCCGGGAGGGAGGAGGGGGAGGGGCTGGGGGCGGGGCCGGCGGAGGCGCGCGCGCGGCCGCGGGAACTGAGCGGCCCGGGGAGAGCGGAGCCGGGGGTAGGTGTGGCGGCGGCGGCAGCGGCGGAGCCGGGGCGGGAAGAGCGGAGGGCCCCGGGGAGCCGGCGGGGGGCGGCGGCGGAGCCGGGGGCCCGCCCGGCCCTGTCCGGGAAGAGGGGTGCGCGGGCCGCGGGGAGCCGGGACATGGCGGCGCAAGGACCCTTGTTCTCACTTTGTTTCTCTCCCGTTCGGCTCCCTCCGGATCCCGCTGCCCGCGCCCCCACCCCTCCTCGGCACCTCTTGTCCCCACGGGCGGGGCGCTCGTCCTCCTCCTGCTCCCTCTCCCTGGGTCTTTCCCTCCTCTGCGACCCTTCCCCCGTTATCTCGTCACCCCCTCTTTGGTCCCCGTCATTCTCCAGGCACCTCCTCCTTGGTCCCAGTTATCTCCTCTTCGGTCCCTTTCACTCCCATTATCTTAGAGTCACCCCCTCTTCGGTCCCCGTCACTACTGTTACCCTCCCGCCACCCCGTCTTTGGTCATTATCACTACTGTTACCCTCCAGCCACCCCCTCTTTGGTCATCGCCTCCATAACATTCGAGTTACCCCTGTTCTGTCCTTGTCGCTCCTCTTTACCCTCGAAGCACCTCCTCCTAGGTCCCCTCACTGCTGTAGCTCCCCTCATCCCTCCACCTCCGTGGTCCCCAAGCCCTCTCTTCTCCCTACATCCATCCCTGCCGTAGCTTCCTGCCTTCTCCTCCCCCTTCTGTTCCCCCCTTCCTTCTCCACTGATTCTCCTTGTTCCTCCCACTTCTAGTGTTTTCCCCACTTCCATTCCCTCATCCCCTTCCCTGCTGCTGGTTGCCCCGGTTCCGGCATCTCTCTGTTTAGCAGTCGTCTGTCTCCCCACTCCAACTCCTCCCGTGGATTGTCCTCATCCACTAGCCCATTGAAACCAACGAAACTTGGACAATTGGATGCAGTTATGATTGGTTTTACTCCCTGCTCCCCGATTCGCTCCCTTTCCTGAACCCCCAAGTTAGGAGTGGGTGAGAGCGCTTGTTTCCTTGCTACCCCGGTCAGTTTTGGAGAAAGAAGACTGGTCAGAATACTTCCCCACCCCCTTTCCCTGGGGGTCTTACACCGGGTGGGCTTTACAAAGATCGAGTAAACTCTCTTCCCTCTTACATCCCCCCACTTTCTTGGGGGGGGATCCTAAATGGGGGAAGGACTCACAAAGGAAGGATAAACTCTTTTCTCTCCTCCCCTCCTCTTCCGTGGTTTCTTCTCCCGGTGATACTTGAAGGGGGCATTTTAAGGCCGTTGGGAATTGTCATTTTATTTTTCTTTTATTTTCTTTTGTTTTCAAACTAGGAGCCAAACTCCTAGGCCAAAATCATATACCAATTAAACATCTCTTGCTATTTCCTTGACAGATCTCTGCTGCCTTTTGGTAGGGGCCTCAGTATAGCTGGTCTCCAAGGTGACTGACAGCTGAGAGGGTGGATCTTAGTTTTATCACTAATAAGTGCTAATAGTAAATAAGGCCAGAATGACCTAAGAGATTTTTTTTTTCTGAGTCTCTGGGTGACTAGGGGTGGGTGAGGTGGAGGGGCTGGATTCCAGGGAATAATTTAAATCCAATTTTTATTCTTCTCTCCCTTCAGAGCCATAGAAATTTTGAATTGGATCACAAATTAAGAGTTGGAAGAAATCTTGGAGATTAAGTAAATGGTCCAGCTGAGATTTAACACAGGCTACCTGAGTCCAAAGCCAGTTTACTTTCAGTTAATACAAACTCCTCATAAGAAAATGCTGGCCAAATTTGAGGAGTTTACAGATTAGGAAACTGAAGTCTAGAGATGTTAAATGACTTCGAAGCTAGATTAGTTAGTGGAAGAACCCAGAGTAGAATCCAGGCTTACTGACTCCTCAGTGCTCTATCCACTATACCATATTGCTGCTTCTGAAGTGTATTCTACAATTATAAACTTCTGTTTTGAAACTTTGGTACCTGGTTTGCAGTACTAGAGTTGGGAAGAGAGACAAACACAATGATAAACTTCTCTTGAAGTAGCTAACTGGTAGCGTTGGAGGTGGGAAAGGCAGTGATAGGGCAGAAATGGACCCCTCGGAAGGTAAAGGATGGCTTGTAATGGGGAGAGGTGTGGCAAGTTAGATTCAGGAAGGAGGTTTGAAGAAAGGAATGGGGGGAGTGGAAAATCATAGGATCGTCAATTTAGAATTGGAAAGAACCTTAAAGAAAGATTAACCACCCAAGTCCCTTACTTCAGAGATGAGAAAGCAGAACTGAGCAGTCTTTTTTGAGTTGAAGGAAGTAGTGGGGTCCTTTGATTGAGGCTAGTGGTGAGTGTGGACTTGGAGGATTTCTTTGAGGCTTTAAGGAGAGAGATGAAAGGACTTTGGGGCAGAAATCTGGAGAAGGAAGGAGACTTCTTGAAGTGAACCCTGAAGTTGAGGTAGAGGACCCCTAGAGATGTCTGGATTTTATTATTCAAGGTGTGATTGGGAAGAAAGGTCTGAAGTTGAGTGGGGCACACCTAAGCTGGATTTCAGGATGGAGCTTGTGAACAGAATTGAAGTTGAATTTTAGAACTAGGTGAACAGAAGGGAAGAAATTTAAAATTTAGCTTTGCGTCATCTGGGTTTTTCTTCATAATTTCAAACACTGTCATCAGTTTGTGTGGGGATGACTTTAGTGAGCTGTCGCTAATGTGTAGCAGCAGCCAGGTGCATACAGTATATAGTGTGCCTGAATTCTAAAGCAGGTTTTCCATTCAAGCTCCCTGACTTTTCAGCTTGCAAAAGGCAGTTGAATGTTGCTATAATTAGCAGATATTCTGTTGATTTTCAAATTGGAGTTTAACAAATTGGCTGCGTTGTTTGCTGGGAGAACTCTACCCCAGAGTTTTGTTTGCTGGGAGAACTCTACCCCAGAGTTTTGGGAGCTTAAATTTTTGTAATAGCCTTTTTTGGTAAGTGACATAAAAGGTATTCTCTTTGATGACCTTAGTGGCTGTTAGTATACTGGTCATATTATTGTCCTTTGATGATGCTTTACTTTTGGCTTTATTGCAAGGCTTCTCAAATGTTCAGATTTCAGAACTCTTTTACATTCCTAAAAACTTTTGAGGAACACCCCTGACCCCCAAAAGAGCTTTTGTTTGTATGGGTTAAATGTATCAGTATTTACCACATTAGAAATTAAAACGTCTTAGTACTTTGAGTTTTGTGTTAATTAGTATTATTAGTACTTTTGACGTTGCAGACTCCCTGAAAGGGTCTCAGAGATTTCTGGGGGTTTCAGATCCCACTTTGAGAATTGCTTGATTATCAAATTGCCTGTATAAAGCTTTCCCCTTAAACATAGAGCCAATTAAATGTAGTAAAAATTAAAAGGCAGAATGAAGAAAAGAATAGCATATAATTTATGACCTTATTAAGTTACTCACATAGGTGACATCTGTTAGCTAGAAATGCAGCTAAGAAGGCTTTTAGTTTTCACATTCGTATTTGGAGTTTGTAAAATTTCTGTCAGCATTCATTTTACTCTAACACTAATGCTCTTGACTTTGCTGAAGAAATAATTGGAATAATTCCTCTGGTTTCTGAACAGTCACTTTTCTGCATTAATGAATAGAAGCCTCATCCAGTTCTACCACCATCATTGTGGATTGCATCTGTGGTTCTCAGATTACAACCAAAGGGCTATTGATGTGTCTGGAAATACACTGCTGTTTGTCAACAGCCCTGCCCTTGATTAGAAGCTGAGGTCTGTTCTGGAGAATGTGGCCCATCAAAGAAAATTATTCTGTAGGGTGAGCTTGGGAGAAACTATCATCTCAGGATTTTGAGGATTTGGCAAAACTCAAATTGGTTGGAAAGGTGTGGGTGCACTTTTCCTTTTATATATTTTTTTCGTGTTTTAAAGTTTTGTCTTAAGAAAAACAGAAAAAAAAAATCATGCTTTACTTCTCTGAGTTTGATCTTTTATAATAGGTGACTCCAAAGCGCACATCTTCATATTTACCTTGTGTAGTTTCTGGGACATCATCATTCTGAAGTTTCTGCTAGTTAACTGATAATACAAGATGCTAATAGAAGATAAGCCTGTATAAAATTGGAGTGAAAGGAGTACTTTTTGCCCCAATATCTTGTCATCTTTGTGATGAAGCACTGGGGTAGTTATTCTAAGTGTCAGATTGAATAGCTGTGTCTCAAATATTTTTTTAATTGGCCAAGTCAGCAGTATGCCAAATAAATAATATGTGTAATTGTTATTACTGGGCTGACTGGTGATTTGTGATACTACCTGTGTGACCTTGGATAAA